CTGAACTAACCTGATAGATAAAGAAAACACGTATTCAGACAAAAAAAAAAAAATCTTTTAGCCTGTTAGCATGAGAAAGGGTTTTAGCTATAAAAGGGTGCCTTTTCTCCTAGGTCTCGCTGTGTTGGGATCGGGAGATTGGGACACCTGGCTTTCCTTTGGCCAAAGAATAAAGCTGTTTCTTTTGCAGTAGCCTCATGTTCAGAGTCTCACTGGCATTTATGTGGATTCTGAACTGAAAAACCTTACATTCCAATATATCCCCAATTCCACAGAAAACCTCAAAGGGATAGCTGGCTGGCAAAGAACCACCTTCCCACCTCACATCCACACTTGTTTCTCTTGCGATCCCTCAAAGACCTAGTAGGCAGACATGGAGGAGATGGCTCTTTGGCCCAAAAGTAGATAGCTGGTCCTGAAAAGTGACACATGATGGAAATGTAGCCATAGCAGTCCCAAGCTAGAAAAAAGTGGGACAGACAGTATCACCATCAGGTGGATTTGTAACTGGCCGACAAAGCGTACTCAGCGAGTAGTCCTTAATGGTACCACATCTACGTGGAGGGAAATAAGCAGTGAGGTACCACAAGGTTCCGATTTAGGCCCAGTACTGTTCAATATCTCTTCATAAACAGTTTAGATGAGGGAACAGAAGGGGAACTTACCAAATTTGCAGATGATACTAAGCTGGCAGGAATAGCCAACACCCTAGATCAGGGCTTTTCAACCAGTGATACGCATACTACCTGTGGTACTTTGGCACAGGGCAGGTGGTACGCGACCGTCCTAGAGACGTGTAGTGGGACAGAGGAATGAGCCAAAGAGACCCAAGCCTGAGGGAGAGGCAGGAGCAGCTGCAGGACTATCTGGGCTCAGCAGGGCTCCAGCTGATTGGCTCCAACTGATTAGTGCTTCCAGAAGCAGCACAGAGCTGGAGGTGAACTGAAGAAAAGGGCGGGGGAGAGGAGAAGATATAAAAGAAGGTGGTTTGGGTGGGAAAGGGGAAAAAAGACAACAGGGAAAGAGAAGGGGACAGAGAAGAAGCTGTGGAAGGAGAGCTCAGCAGGCAGGGAGGGAAAAGAGACAGGGAAGAAGCAGCAACTGTTGCTGGATATTCCCCTGATGTCAACTGGGAAACAAACTCTGCAGCAAGTGGGAGATGGAACATATTCCTAACCCAACTTAGCTGACAACTTTGTCACCCAAAGGAGGGAATTAGAGGAAAGCTATACTAGACCTAATTCTTACTAATAGAGAAGAAGTGATAGAGGGAGTTGAAATTGCGGGAACCTTGGACAAGAGTGACCACGTCATACTGGAATTCAATATAATGTAGACACAAGCAATAGAATATAATCCCTAAACTTTAAAAGAGCTGATTTTAACAAACTCAGAGAGAGTCTAATCAAAATTTCATGGATAAAAATCGTAAAGGGGAAAACAACTCAAGAAGCGTGGGAAAGACTGAAAAATATAATCGTAAAAGCCCACAATACCACTGAAAAAGAAAAACAAGAAATCCAAGAAACCAACATGGTTGCACAAAGATCTCTCTGATAAACTGAAAGACAAAAAGGATAAGTACCAAAAATGGAAAGAGGGACACATAACTAAGGCAGAATATTAGCAGATAGCCCAAATCTGCCAAGAAGACATCAGGAAAGCAAAGGTTCAGAATGAGCAAAAGTCAAAGATAATATAAAAAAAGTTTCTTTCAACATATAAACATATAAAGAAAAGAAAGGTCAGGGAAACAATTGGTCCACTAAAGAGAGAAGATGGCAAGGAAGTAACAGGCCATAAAGAGAAAGCAGAGGTGCTTAACTCATTCTATAGGCCAAACTACCAAGAATATAACTGTAAAAGACAAATTAGAAATAAAAATTAAAATAAGCAAGAAAATGGTAAGAGAACACCTGTCTGACCTTGATAAATATAAATCACCAGGACCTGATGGATTACATCTCAGAGTTCTGAAAGAGCTGGCAGATGTTATCTCAGAACCATTGTATCGTATCTTTAAAAAACTTGGAGCACTGGGGAACTACCTGAGGATTGGAAAGGACTGATGTGGTTTCCATCTTCAAAAAAAAGGTGGGGGGGACAGACCCAGAAAACTACAGACCAATAGCCTGACATCAATACCTGGGATGATACTGGAAAAAATAATCAAAAAACAGATCTGTGAACATCTAGAAACAAAGAAAGTTATAACTAGTAGCCAACACAGGTTTGTTAAAAACAAATCATGCCAAACCAATCTTATTTCATTCTTTGACAAAGTGACTAAATTAGTAAACCAGTGAAATGCTGTGGACATAGTATATTTAGACTTCAGCAAGGCATTTGACAAAGTAGAGCACAACCTACTTCTTGGTAAACTATAAAAATGTGGGATCGACAGCATCAGCATCAGATGGATTTGTAACTGACCGACAAATCATACTAAATGAGTAGTCCTTAATGGTACTACATCTACATGGAGGGAAGTAAGCAGTGG